GAAGACGAGAATAATAGCAATTAGTATAAAATGGGCCAGTAGAAGGAACAGCAGAGGAAGAAATATGAGTGCTGCACAAATCTATAACAAATACTAGATGAATTGAAAGAAGAAAGTGAGACGACAATAATAATGGGAGATTGGAACAATAGAGTAGGAAGACGGAGCAACAATGAAGAAAGGAAATATAGTAGTTTAGCGATATACAAGCTAAAAAATAACGAAAACAAAGAAAAATACCAGAAGGAGACAGATTTAGAATTCGTAAAACTGGAAAACGGAAAAACCGACCGGACACTGCGGGAGATATGTGGAAAGAGAAAATACAATAAACATGTCAAAAGGGCAGGTGGTGGAATAGCGACATACAAACGCTGACAAAAAATAAGAAAACAGCATGGAAGCAAAAACACAGAAAGACAAAGAGGAATATATTCGAAGGAGAACCACAGTGAAAAATGAAGAGATAACAGAAGAACACTGAACAGACTGTTAGGTAAATGAATAAAACACTTATTAACCTAAGTCGGTATAATTATATGTGGACTGTAACAATATCAAAATAATAATGTTAAAATTCTCAATCACTATCAACTAAACACACTCACAACGAAAAGAGGGGATTTCAAGCGCCAAACAAAATAATTTAAAATATTCTTGCCAACACAGACTATAAAATATTCTGGACGAGAATAAAAAGATTAAGGCTGAATAAAAGGAAAGGGATAAAAGCAATTAAAAATAAACAGGGTCCAACACTAACAAACACAAAAGGAATATTTGAAACATGGGAAGAACATTACAGAAAAAAGTATAACACGACATAGCAAGAAGACTATTATAGACTACTAGAAGATTAAGAGAGCACATGGAACCGAAACTGGGAAACGAACAGGCAGCATTAAGACAGAACAGACAGACAAACGAGAACATATATATTAAGAAATATAATAGACAGAAAGAGTAAAGAAGGAGAGGGAGAATATCTAACATTCATGGATCTAAAAACAGCTTTCGATGCGGTAAGAAGGAGAGAAATACGGAAGACCCTAGGAGAACGGGAAATACCTAACACGTTGAGAAACGCAGTAAGAAGTACATATGAAAGAGTGCAGATGGCGGGACAAAGATCAGATGAATCTAAATGAGTAAGGAAATAAAACAAGGAGACAGCATAAGCCTTCTACTTTATCATTCAATATCATGGACAAAGTTACTAAAAAAATTAAATTAAATTATAACCAAATGTAAATGTTACACACAGACGATGTGGTATTAATAGCAAGTAAGAAAGAGCAAATGCAAAATTTAGTAAACGCCTGGACTACAGAAATTGAAAACATCAAAATGAAAACAAATACAAACAAAACAAAACAATGATCATAAATGAAAAAGAAACAGACACCCAGATCGACAAAGGAATCAAATGCAAGAATAAATTATTGGAGAGATTAACAACATACAAATTTTTGGGAAGTATTATAACGGAGGATGGAAAAATAGAAGCGGAGTTATCAAACAGAGCTAATAAATCAACAAGAGTATATAATATTCAATAAACAAAACAATACTAGGACGTAAAATCATAGAAATAGGAGCGAAAAGAAAAATACATAATGTAGGTAATAACCGAGGTAATAACAATACTAATTATTATATACCTACCTACATACGCCTGTGAAAACTGAACACTAAGGAAAAACGACGAAAGTAAAGTAAATTACTAAGGAAATGACACATCTCAGAAAACGAAAATGGGACAGGGTAAGAAATGGTATGATCAAATAAATATCAGAATAAGAGCCAATAACCGAAAAAATAAAAAACAAACAACTGAACTGGTTCGCACATACAGGCAAATGCCGCTTTGAAACTGAAACTACTTTGCGAGATATCCTAAAAATTTTGCAAAATCGTTTTTATTTTTTACCGGAGTTATTTAAAAAGATACACACATACAGCTTCAAGAATACAAAAGGTGCAAAACTCATGTTTACGGTTTATATACGGAATCAGACGCAGTGAACATGTTTCTCCTAAAATTAAGGAAGCTGGTTGGCTTAATATGTCAAAGCGGAGGACATTGCACTCATCAGTTCTTTATCATAAAGTCATCACTACTGCGACGCCACCTTACCTGGCTGAACGATTACAGTTCCGTACTAGTGTACATAGTTTAAACTTACGTCATAGGGGCCTGTTGACGGTCCCTATACACAAAACAGCTTATTTCCGCAGATCTTTTTCGCATAATGCTTGTAAAGTTTATAATTCGCTACCACCGTCCATTAAAACTCTTTCGGTTCATGGCTTCAAAGTGCAAGTAAGATTACTACTGGAGCTGGGTAAGCTACAATAAAGTGCGAGAGAGTAGATGCAACCTTTGAGGTTGGAAATAATTTAGTGTTGTTAGTGATCGTGCATTTATTTATTAGAATAATAATTTTTTAAGTTAATAATACGTTGGATTGGGGCTGTATGGAAGAACAGGGTCTCTCGGCACTGAATGCAGTCCCTTTCCCTGTTTTTATTTGTGTTATATGTAGAGTTTTGATTTTGTTTTATGGGGAATAAATTATATATTATTATTATTATTAAAATAAATGGCACATTATTGTGACCAATTTTTTCCTTCTACAAGATGCTAGTTTTCAATTTTAAGTCTTACGTTTCGCCTCCAGTCAACCATCAACTTTGTTTTTCTTATGGAAGTCAATTTTACTTTTTGTGTCATTTGATAGAGCGTTTTTTTCTGATTTCGAAAATGTAAATATCACTATTTTTTAATAAGAAATGGGGCTATTATTTCGTAAAAACGCAAATAAACTACGACCGTACACTACCCAAGACTACGAAAGCGTAGAGCTGCCATGCCAATATTGGAAAATATTTTCAGGAAAACTTACACTTTTTCTGTCAATTTACAATTTTTCTGTAAATTTACACTTTTTCTGTAAATTGACACTTTTTCTGTAAATTTACAATTTTTCTGTCAATGTCTACATTCATAGCTTTGCGAGTAGTTACAGTCAGTCAAACTGTGTTCTACGCCGAGTCAGTTACACTTGCAGACGACTAGTTCACAGAAGTCTTCATTGTGTTGTGCATCTTTTCCGCATGGATGAATTAGTGGAAGTATAGGTATTCGATATTCGGTAGTGAGAGACGACCGGTAAGGTTGAAATTGTGCCGACAAAGTACAGATATTCATCAAATATTATGGACGACTATATTAAAACTTACTTTCAAATAGGATTAAGTCACAAAGAAATCTTGGCATGTCTTCTAGAAGACGGTTACATTCTAAGTTTACGTCATTTGCGAAGGCATCTAAGACGACTTCGTTTATTTAGAAAAAAGATTTACACGGACATTAATATTCTAGTAGAATTTCTGGAAACACAAATATCGACACACGGCCAGCTGCACGGCTACCGGTGGATGCACCTTAAGTGCCTTCAGCACGGATTTGTTGTAACTCAAAATACAGTCAGAGAACTGCTACGCACTTTGGATCCCGATGGAGTTACACTACGTCAGCGTCGTCGGCTACGAAGGAGACAATACTACAATAAAGGGCCAAATTTTCTCTGGCATACCGATTGTTATGACAAATTGAAACCATTTGGAATTTGTATAACAGGCTGCATAGACGGATTTTCTCGTTATATTATTTGGTTGGAAGTTGGCCCAAATACCAACGACCCCTCGGTAATTGCTTATCATTTTATGCAAGCAGTTACAACTAGAAGTGGATGTCCGCAGACTTTGCGCGCCGATTTGGGTACTGAAAATGTCATCATTGAACGAATACAGACCAATCTAAAACTGGATGGACCGGATGCGCTATCACACCTTCCGGGATTTTTATATGGAACTAGTCATGCAAATCAACGCATAGAAGCGTGGTGGTCAACCTTACGGAAACATCACTCCCAATTTTGGATGAATGTTTTTCATACTTTGAAAGATGAGGGCTCATTTTCAGGAAGTTTATTGGATAAATCACTCATACAATTTTGCTTCTTGGACATTATAAAGGTAATAACTGTTTTTGTTCGGATAAACAATAATTATTCAATAAGTAATAGTAGTAATAACATCAGGTTCTGTCGAGGGTTTCGCTTAATCCGATCTGAGAATCAATGTTTGCTAGTATCCAAAAGGACTTGGCACCATTAAGTGCGTGCAGTGTGGTCAGTGTAGGTATAAGAATAATTTCTGTGAAATATTTTACATAGCATTCAATATAGTTGCCCTTAGACAAAAATACTCAATTGGGCTTCAAATACGTAAATACAACTAAGAGACTTTTTATTATTACTCGAAAAGTGGGGTCAAAATTTGTATAAAGAATAGTTTTTATGAAATATTTTAAAACACTTTCGCCAATTGCTATAATTCATTCACTTTGTGGTTTCCACTTTACATGTGACAAAGCTGATAGATCTAATGATTTTGTAATGCTAATCAGCGACTGTCAAAGATCAGATCGAGGAAACCACAGAGAGAACCAACCACACCACAAACCACAATAAATCTCATACTTTTCTGTCTAGGAGGAACTTGATTTGGTTGCCCTGGAATGGAATACACATAGAATAACGCGTTCTAGAAATAGCATTGCACCTTATGGACGACCATTCATGATGTATAATAGACCTCAAGATTTCATGTCCATCGACTACTTACATCCTGTAAGCACAGAGATGAGAGATCTTTGGTTGGAAACAATACCCAAGCCTAGAAACACTTCAGATTATGACGTGTACCAGTTAGCTGCGATAATTATGGAGGAGGAAGGATGGGTCAAGACCAACAACGTAGAAGCAGCTATAGAATTATACAAAAATTTGAGACAGAAGTTTTTCAATGTTATTCTAGTATAAAATGAAAATGAAAATGTGCATAAAAAGTTGTATTTGATATTAAATAGTTACATAAAAGTTACGAATATTGGTAGTTTAACGGTAACTGTATAACAAAATAGAGTACTCTTAATACATAAACTTTAACAAAACAAATATTATATTATCCAAATTCAATAAGATTAACGTAAAATAAAACAAGTACTTATTACGCGAACCCGAATTCTTTAGCATTACCCATGGCAAAATCCATATCGGTTTTGAAGTCCTCATAACTGGTATGTACCACTGGCAGTTTTAATTGAAGACTGCAAGTATTTGCTATCGGAAATCGCGAATTCTTTTCATGCAAAAACATGATCTCTGGCCTTAAAGGAAATCCTAAAGGCGGAAGGCAATCAGACCCTGTTGCAAAGACTAAAAGATCGGGAAGAGTGACAATATTTGTCGGGTCGCCTAAAAACCTACATATTAAAGAAAAAATAATACATTTTGTTATACCACATACATTCCAAATCCAATACATAATCCCTAAAATAAGAAATCACACGATTTTCTTTACTACGGGTGTTAGTTCCAGGTTCGGTATAGACAATCAGGAATAGTTCTTCAATTACTTTTGAAGATAGTGTGATTTCAGAACAAAATATGTCTTTGAATATACTGGGATATTGCACAAGCTTGTCATATAGACCGCATGTATTCAACCCTGCAATTAATTGCCGCAGTGGTTCTCTTATTCTATCCACAGCAAAAAATCGTAGCGTCCCTAAAAGTAATTATTATTATTGGTATTATCTCTAGTATTAAATATACATATTGTATACCTTGGACAATTTTTTCTTGCTCTTCTGCTTGCACAATAATTGGGAATCCCGACAGAGAAAAAACATCGCTATTTCCTATTATTGTTCGTAGTTCTTCTAACTCGTTGGCATTTTGAAATTGCATAATCGTTTCTCTTACATCTCGATCGATATCATCAAGTGTTGGGACTGCAATTTGGTCGCATAATAGCGAGAATAGTGTCTCAGAAAAAAAAATGAGGCCCGGCCCTCCATGAATCAGGGATAAAGCAATTAATCGACCCGCTTCGAAATACATGTTTTTGTGCAAAGCATTCCCACAAAGATTCAAATTTTTCTTATGGGCACCACAGAACATACCGCTGTCTTTCAGCCAGTTCAGAGATAATCTGAACATTTCTCTGCAAGGACCTCCTTCATCAACTGCACCTTCGCTTGTACCCTCAGCATCACTAAACTTCACTGAAATTTTACTAAATGGATCAAATCCGGTTCTTCTCATTGCTCGGACGCAACATCCAAACACATCTTCTCTGTATATGTTGAACTGTGATGTTTTCTGCGTGTTGATGTTTTTTTGTAAGTGCTTCAAAAGTGAAGAAATCGTTTGAGGTTCACAAATGTGTGTATTGGTGATGTTTGGTAACGGCTGAGTCTCACAACAGTCAAGGATTGAGTTTACTAATAAAGTTAGATCTTGTTTAGGAATTTGTTGTTCGGATGTTACTGTTTGCGTTACAACTTCATATGATTGATGCCAGTAAGGATAATTATTCCAGTCATTACTGTTTACGCTTAGGTCCGTACTGTTATCCTCTTTGCTCCTAACTGTGGTTGCGGGGCACTGAAAAAATGAGAAGATACAATAATAACAAAATAATGTGAAAAATACATTAGATCCACGGCATAGTCATCATTTGTCCCTAAGCCCAGAAACGGTGTAAAGTCTTCATTTATTGTCCGATTGCAGATGAATTCGGCATCTACCTCATTCGGAAGCGATCTAGATACATCATTAATCTGATCTGATGAATTCTCATCATCTGACAAAATTCCATTTCCGGTAATTGATAAAGCAGTCCTGCGTATCCTAGTCCGTTTAGCCGGAGGAGATGCCTTTTTGATAAATTAATTTAGAAGTCAAATAAAACCTTAACTTTGTCAAAGCGGTGCGAGAAAAATACTCCTCGATAGTTAGTTGATCATCTAATTGTTGCAGCGAAAAATCCACCATGTTTGTTTCAAAATCTGTTAGATACCCTTTGGTGGATTTGCCAACAGGGAAAAAAAGCTCCAAGGCACGTTGACGTACAGTTTCTACCGTTGCAGACTTTTCAATTTCAATTTGCCGGGTGCCACCACCTTGCAGCTTACGTACCTGGGTGTAGGTTTCTCCGTCCATTGAACAAACCCAACCCACTTCAATCAGTCTCGTTGTTTTTACTTTTTTATGGGAATTTCCTTTGTGTGCGGTGATATTGCCCGCCGGCGTTGACATTTTCAATTTTAGTCGATCAATTAAGCTCTGCTTTTTGGGTGCCAACTCTTTTTTGCAGTATGCTTTAATGGCAACCCTATCGCCTAATTTTGGTAACAATATCTTCAAAGTATCATCAGACATAACCATAATGGTCGGCGGATCAATCTACGGATAAATAAAACTACATAATAAAAGAATCCTGTTGCTTAAATAAAGGTGTTCACAACTCGACGTTTAAAATTTCAGCTTGTGGATAAGCTACGTTGGACCATTTTTCATCAAGAATAGCCGCTCGACAAAAAACCCAGAATGACAACAAGAACTGCCCCCCCCCCCCCCCCCCCCCCCCCGGCCACGGAATAATTTTGAGGGATAATGTATATTTACTGCTTGATCAGACGCTAATTTGTCAATTAAACACGTATCTAGTAATGAACAACAATTTGCTGATTTGAGATATCTAATGTCGGCGTCCAGCGCAATGAAACTGGAGATCATACATTTACAACATTTGTTGTAGTTGTAATAGTGTGGGCAAGAGGCGAAGAGTGCACTTTCAAATTTGTTTTTTCGATTTTAATAGCCCTTATGGAATTTCATGCCTTCACGAGAATACAATTAAACAACAAATAATTTTTCATTTCTGATCGAATGGCAACAATACTATGTCTGTAGTGGTGTAGTTCCGGAGCCTTTGTAACTCAGATAGACAGACAGACATACAGACAGACAAACCTCCAGAGCGCAAAAGTGCACTTTTTATTTTTTTTAAAGTGAAAGTGCACTAAAAAAAGAATACAACGCACGAAAATTAGGTATATACTCTTTGGTACTAGCTTTGGGTGCGCCATTGCTAAATGCACGTATCTATGTGGCTCACGAATTGTGGTCCTTTTTTATGAATATGTAACAATAATTTATTGTCTAATAGTATTAGAAGTGAAAGCGATAGAACTTACATTTTCGTCTAAGAATTGTTGAACGGTTAAATCGGGAATTCCCCTACCACGCAGAAAGTCCACAAATTCATCCATGTCGAAAAGATGCACAACACAATGAAGACTTCTGTGAACTAGTCGTCTGCAAGTGCAACTGAACCGGCGTAGAACACAGTTTGGCTGGCTGTAACTACTCGCAAGGCTATTAATGTAGAAATTGACAGAAAAATTGTAAATTTACAGAAAAAGAGTAAATTGACAGAAAAAGTGTAAATTGACAGAAAAAGTGTAAATTTACACAAAAAATGTAAATTGACAGAAAAATTGTAAATTGACAGAAAAAGTGTAAGTTTTCCTGAAAATATTTTCCAATATTGGCATGGCAGCTCTACGCTTTCGTACAAGACAGAGTTTGCCACGCAAAAAAGAAGATATTTTAACAATATTAAAAAAATTGTGATGTTTACATTTTTGAAATCAGAAAAAAAATGCCCTGTCAGAAAAAGTAAAAATGACTTCCATAAGAAAAAACAAAGTTGATGATGACTGACCGGAGACGAAACGTCAAACTTAAAATTTAAAACTAGGAATGGAAAGGGGAAAGACGGTAGAGAAAATGAATATCCTATAGTAAGAGACAGGAAAGAATGGAGGATTTGGATACATTTCACAGTCCTGCAATTCAAGGTAGTTATCATTTTATAAACTGATTTTATAACTATGCTGTTCAGCATAATTAATGCAACCACTGTGAAAGATACAGATTATGGGTAATAAATTACTGGGCTCTATTATGTAGAAAGCAAAATGTTGACGTTCCAAGAGGTAATTCATGATTAGGATAATTAATAAATCCGCCTATGCGTTTTTAAAGGCCGCCATCCCATCCCACCATAGAATTATGATAGGAAAATTTAAATCTCAGCTGAACAGGGGGTAAATGCAGTTTAACATCAATTCACAATTTATAATTAGGAAACGGTTCAAGAGCAATGAGCTAATTTAGAACGCGGAGATTACGTTTGTCTCAACTACCCATTTATTAGGGTCCCCAATTATTTACCTAGGCAATTTCAGCAGGCGTGGAGACGAGATAACCAACTTTCAAATTGCATTCCAGAATATCTGCCCTTTACCTTCATTACTTCCAAATCATTGTTATACACGGTGTATGGTCGGTGGAATCCGCTGGAAGCAATCCTTGTAGGTTGCTTCGGTTCATCTAAAATACACCTTTAGCGAATAATCTGTACAGGAAAATTACCCAGCACGTTTTGATTGACGCCATTCTGTATAGCGAAGATCTTTCAGAATTAATAAGGTTTAAATTCCGAAGCTTTTGTCGAGGTACGTAATTTAAACGGGAGCGTCCCATTCATCTTTAAACAAGCTTAAAAGTATAGAAAGGGCAATGAATATTAATATTGTTCATCCCTGTATACCTTTTGGGACAAATGTATCTGCAGATATTAATATTTATATTAAAACTCTCCTTTACTGTAAAGGGTTCATAATTCTATACAAATGTAATACTGTGATTTATGGAAGTGTTTTCCGTATTTTCACGAAACTTACAATTATTTCGAGCAGTGCAATACTACTTTACCTACTAAGGTACCATTTACGGCTTAGCTCAGATTTTGTTTAAGACATCTGATATTTGTAATCCACTGCTTAACCTTGCGTGGTACGTACAATGTTCTATTTGAGGCTGGATGTCTCAGAAATAAAAACGTCAGATTGATTTTTTCTGGATCTCTATAAAATATCTAAGGAATGATTAGAAACTGTGTAAAAAGTTTTTAAAGAAACTTTCATAGTCCTTGAAGAAATTATGAAAGATCCAAACGCTGAACTACTAAAAAATCGCTGTTTTATTAGATTTTGGTAGTTCGAAATGATTTTAAGGGTGGTTTCCACAAAAGAGGGGCTTAGAATTGAATTTATTTGGGGTTGCGCGTTTATTAGGAGTTGAATATTATGAGGTATCAGAATTTTGTCATGTAAATTAGTAAAGAGAAATTATTCATCTAGGTTCACTTTTTAACCTTTTAACATTTTTTCGAAGGGGATTTTCCAACTGTGAGTATGTCATTTTTTATTAACCCATTCATAATTTCCCAAATATAATTTCTTTATCAATTTGAATGCAATATTATTTAGGTAAAACCTTCTAACTGAGTTGAAAAAGAAAAAAGAGATATTATACATTTTTTCATAGTCTGTTAGAGGGACTATTAAATTAATAATAGACAAGTGGCCATATCAAAATAGTTTTGTACAATTTTAGATACTGGATTTTGTGGAAGACTGTAGTTTAGGGGAAGATGAGTTTGATTGATTCAAATTTTATTATACGTACGTATTCCTACGTGCGGTCAACTACACTACTTACAAAACACTTGTCCAACTAGCTCAAACAAATCAAAAATTGAATTTTTATGATCCCTCCTCGTACATCTCCGGGATTAGCTACAAAGCAAAATTCTAATAATGAATCGAAATTTATAATTTAAGAGATTTGGTAGCCTCGATCAACTTCCGATAAATCGAAAGAATCAATTAAAAAACACCTGAGATAAATCTTGAGCACAAATAGAAAAATTTGAATATGAAAACACTATCTGGGTTGTACGAAGAGTTCAAATAAACACACAATTAATTGATTGACACTGACAAAAAAATGAATTCCGAAACACATTCTCAGAAAATCATCAAGAATACGGAAATAAAGAGGCGTTCTTATATTAACCCCACACGCAGCTGGTCGATCACAAATAATAAGGAAAAACTTAATAGTTTTCGACATAGAAGTCAGGAAAACGCCACATCATCATCACTCCTACTTCTGCTAATTTCAAATGCCACGCCTATAAGGAGCGCTTTAGGTGTCCATTACGAAATTCAGCGCACAAGAAACCGTGCACCTGTATCCTATGTTATTCACGCCACACACATTGTGCGTCTCGAAATCAATTACCTTTCGCGATAACACCGTCCTTATCACACACGACCGGATAGCACTTAAATGCACTCGATCAGATTTTCACACCTTACAAATTAAATAAACAAATTTACCCGAATCATAAAATTTAAACAAGAAAACAAAAACAATTCTAGAATGGAAAAATAGACACTAAAATGAAAATTCCGTTAAATAAACCACTTCTGTGCTAATTCGTAATGCAATCCTCCAGATTTAAATTGAATTAAAACATTCGTATATACAGGGTGATCCGTTATGATCTTCGGTATTATTTTAGCGTAAATAGCGTTCCCCTGACGTTGTTTAGAGAACAGTACGCAAATATTTTGGAAGTGTGTCTTTGTTTGACGTCAAAGAAATAGGTCCATTTGCTTAATGCCTATGCCTTATATTCCATTAAAAAAACGCGTCAACCTAATAGGAGTAGTTTAAATGGATAGTAGGTGCAATGTACAACTGTCACCTTAAAATCTACCGCCCTGCAGATACATTTCAAAATTGCTGTCTAAAGAGATGAAAATTGAAATTATAAATTTATACAAAGGTCACAACAGTGCAAAACGAGTACGCGATTTACTTGCAGTCCAGTATCCTGATGAACTAATACCTTCCATTTCTGGCTGGTTCAGTTGCGACTCGCAGATTATCCAATACGTGTGTATAGTTGTGAACCGCACATATCCTATACGTTGATGCGTTTTTTTAACATGTA